ATCGCGATTAAAATGAAAATAAAGTGGGTCGTCCATCGCGATGCGATCTGAGCCTTCCGTGCGTGATTCAATCTGGACCGTCCGCACGCGTGAGATCTAGACCGTTCGATCGCGTGCACGCGAATCGCTCACGTAGCTCTGTCCGTGTGGTCTCCCGCGTCAGCTTCCTTGCCACGCGGCGTGTTCTGGTTGGCCGGGGCCCCTGACTGGGGCTGCTAACGTGGCTGCTGACGTGGCACAACTTTTATAAATTGCGTTTTTGACCCCCGATTTTGGATTTTCTTTTCAAAAATACCCCCAGAATCTAAATTTTCACACCTTTTTCCCAAAATCAATTTCAATTAAATCACAAAAATAATTTTACCTTATTTTATCATTATTATTATTTTTATTTTCATTAAATTAAATTAAAACCTTATAAATTAAATATATAACAAAATTAAACTAAAATTCTAATATATATTAAAATAAATAAATAAAAAAATAAAAATAAAAATAATAAATTGGGTGTTACAATATTACCATGATAAGTTGACCCATCATAGGAGAGAGAACAAAAAGGTTACAACAAGCCCTTCAACTTTTTATCCAGAAATGGATCAGTGAGGAAGATGGATTTAGATCAAGTGAAAAAGCCCAAGAGAAGAAGAAAATAAGTCCATTAACCTAAATGTATAATGGTCCCTTCAATTCAATTCAAGTGGAAGAGGGAATTAAGTAAGAAAAGGCAAGGGAATTTGATCATAAAGGAAAAATCTTCCAAACCATGAAAATGAAAAAGTTCCCATGGGATTTTCTTTCCTAAAATTATAAAGTTATTTTCGGCTACTGAAGTGTCTTCAACCTTCTCATTGAATAAAGAATGGGATCAACTTATGAAATTATATTTGTGATGTTTTTCTAATTCTTTTTTATTTTTCTGATTACATCAGTTCTTATCATTTTATTGATGGCGGGTTAAGTAGAAATTGTTTATTAAGATTTAAGTATTTGATGCTTTATTAGTATTGTGTGAGTTCTGAATTACTCTATTGATCTTGGGTTTCACATCGATAGTTTAGGTATCATCTAGAATCTTAAGTTCAATACTAACTCTCACGGTTATCTGAACATAAAGCACATGAAACTCCATTGTTGGCATATGGCAACTTCATCCATTCATAAACTATGTAATTTAAAAAAAAAATGCAAACTACAAAAAATAATCATAACTTAAAATAACATTACTAAAAGCTAGAGACATACAAGAGCAAATCATATATGGGTGGAATCACTTTACGTTATTTATACAATTAATTTTTTTAATACAAATTCACACATTTCATTAAGTGACATGTACATATTAATAATGTTACAATGTCGTAAAAAGAATACAGGAGAACACACAGATCAACTCAAACTCACAACTTTTTATAAAGAGATGGAAGTACCAACCATTCTGTCAAAAGATTGTTTGATACTATTAATTATTTGTTTAAAACATATATAAATGAAACACCCTCATTATAAATATGACAAAGTTAATTAAGCAATATTAATCTTAATAATGAATTTGTGGCTCAAGGAGAAACTTTGATGCATCCTCCTACGATAATGGGAGGCATTTTAGATCTGAACTCCCAAAGCTCAAAATGTCCATCTTCAAAATCATAATAGCCACCCCATAAAGCTATTTTCTTCCTTTTATATCCGTTGCTCACTAAAGGATATGATAACAGGTTGCACAGAGAATTATTCACCGACTCCTGCGTGCAAACACTTACTAAAATTATATTTATACATTTGTAGTTATCAACTATGTGATATAAACATATATATGTATATATCTAATTAAAGTTGAATTAAGAAGACTTACTCGTTCGCAAATTTTAATTTGTTCTTCTTTTGGCAGATCTCCAAATTCTTTTTCGACTTTGGTCTTAGCAGGTAATGCGATTTTAACCCAGTCATCTAAGAAGTCACTATAAATCTCGATTCCATTAATGGAATTAAAAAAATAATGAGAATATTTATACGTAGTAATTAAATTATTCTAGTTAATTTAAAATTATAAAATAGTTTTGAAAAAGTTATGTGACAAAAATGGATGAAAATTATGTGATAAAACAACTTACTTTTGATGAGTAGAGTCATCCGGAAGATTCATGAGTCTATCTATCCCACCGCATTTTCTGTGTCCAATAATCAGAATGTTCTCTACCTGACAAAATTAAATTACATATAACTAAATACAAAGAGAAAAATATTAAATAAAAGAAAAATGAATGTTCTTAGTTGACCTTAAGTACTGTGAGAGCATATTCAATTACTGCACCAACACTGGAGTATCTTAACTGTTCACCAGATCAAAAAAATATATAAGGGTTTACGATTAACGAAATAATTTGATAATTGAGAAGGAAGGATTTAATTAATTTATATAATTAATAACCACCTCGTTAAATGGCGGAACTATGCCAGAAATGTTGCGGGCCATGAAGGCTTCCCCAGGTTGAAAATCAAGAACATGGGAGGGGCTTACTCGTGAGTCGGAGCAAGTGAAAATCAAAAACTGGAAAATTAATATATATATATATTTTCAGATGTCTTTTTTGCTGACAATGTCATAATATATTACCAAATAGAGATTATTGAACCGGAAATACATACCCTGGGGTCCTGAGCTTTTGCAAGTGGTTCGAAAATTTCTGGATGTTTGCTGCATATACATTATTCAAAGTAATATATATACATATATGTATATATGTATATACATGTATAAATGTTTGCTTGTTAATCAATAGACGAATTTTGAAAAAGTTAAAACGACACTCTATATATTTACATATATATATATATATATATATATATAGTATGTATGAATCGTACTCAAATTTGCAGGCCTTGAAGTGAAGAAAGCCATCAATAATCCTTTTGACAGGTGGGCTGCAATGACAAGGCTCTCTCTTTTCTGCGTGATCAGCAATCAGCTTCTCAATTTTGGCCTTCACATATTCCTCTATCCTTTCATTCTCACTGCAAATCAAACAACCTCATACTTTGAAGTTTCAGCCACAACCCAGATTGCAAAATATATATGTGTATATATGTGCATTAATGTACTGATTGTTAATATATATTATATATAAAGAGACCGTAACATATAATAAAGGGGTTTGTATGATCATGAGAAACAAAAGTAGGTTTGAATATTTCCTAGAGATATATAAATACATATATTAAAAGTATTAGATTAATGTTTGCTTGAATCTATGCTGATACTATTTCGATTTAATCTAGTTCGGATTAAATTTATTTTTTTTAAAAAAAATATTTATAGTTAAAAATCAATTAATCCAAAAAAGAAGAGAAAATTACATTCCATATTTCTCATATAAATTAGCAGTGAAACAAACCTGAGGAGAAGCTTCTGAAGCTCATCAATGATAATTTCAGACGAAGATGATTGGGCAGCCATGCGTGTATGTATATGTACGTATATAGCACGTTTCCTCCTCCTACATATTCATTTATAAATCAATCAGAAACACACAAAAATAAATTTTTTTTTCTCTCATATAAATTTCTGATTTTGCGTATTCCCATTTTTCTGTGCATTTAGAAAGATGTTTGTTTGAATGAACAAATATATATTGTATATGTTAGTGATTATATATCACTAGAGATAAAGTATGAGGTATGTATTTTTATTACTATATCTAAATATTATACTTGGTCAACTATCCGAAACAAGTAGAAAGCTATTAATTCACCACTCAATATATTATTAAATTTATATTTACTGCATAATATATTTATCACATATTTATAAATTTTTATATATATATATATATTTAGACTCGTTCTTATTCCGTTAATAACAATTTTTATCCGTTATATTATAACTAAATAAATTGTGTTAAAGATGTTGGGGTGATTGAGCCCACAAGTAAATGTGCACAATTATGTATATGTATACGTGTATAATAGTTGTTTTCTATTTGAAAACTCTATAATAACAGAGAATCAAAAAAAAAAAAAAAAAAAATACAGCGACTCAAAAACTAAGAAAATGGAGTCTGATACCTATATTTATAGTTATGGACACGTATATGTATGATGCAACAGACATGTTTCTTGATGATGAATTTATTTTGAGAAGAGATTTTGATCAAAATAAAGGAAAGAAATAAAACCAGAGCAGAAATATTACGTACATATAGATATATATATATATATATATATATATGTATGTGTGTGTGTGTATACGTACCTATTATTTGTTTTGGAGAAGATAGTTGAAGGTAAGTTGGTATTTATAGGCAAGAGGATGATGGTACGAGCGAGCAATTACAAAGTTATTCATGACGAGAAAAATTCCCCTTTTTTTCCCTTTATATTTTTTTTTAATTTTTGTGGTTTCAGTGCTTTAATGTTACCAAAACCAGCCCCACCCACTCCCACAAAATACTGATTTATCAGGATAAGATTCTTTTTTTAGAAAAAAAAAATAAATTTATATAACTATTTTGAAACCTAACTCGTTATATACATGTACGTGTGTGTGTGTGTATATATATATGAATAAGGCATAAGTCATCCCCTAATTTAAGTAGAAGAATTAGTTGAACTAGTTTGATTTTTTTACCCCGAATTCTAATCTTCTTTAAATAAGCAGATTATGTAAAAACTCTGCATAATATTATG